CCCCCGGATCAACAGCGTCTTATCTTTGCTGGTAAGCAGCTGGAGGAGGGCCGCACCCTGGCGGACTACAACATTCAGAAGGAGTCCACGCTGCACCTGGTGCTCCGCCTCCGTGGAGGTGTGATGGAGCCAACGCTGGAGGCCCTCGCAAAGAAGTACAACTGGGAGAAGAAGGTGTGCCGCCGCTGCTACGCCCGTCTGCCCGTGCGTGCAACGAACTGCCGCAAGAAGGGATGCGGTCACTGCTCTAACCTCCGCATGAAGAAGAAGCTGCGTTAAGAATGGATGGTTACACCAGTACGGGAAGCGGGGGGAAGACGAACCATATGTGTATATACGTACTTGGGTTGTAGAAGGGAAAAAGAGATGCGATGAATTGATTATCAGCTCATTGTACCTTATTTTTCTTTCTTAACTGTCAGTGGGAAATATGCCTACGTTCCTTTTCCTTGATTCTTTTGATTTATTTATTTATACGAGTTCGTTTAACGAACTCTTTTTACTCTTTTTTTGTTTTTTAATGCCATCACTCCCTCTGTGGGAGTAATGGCTTCATTTTTCATGTGATCCCTAGTTGATTTCCCTTATTTTGCTCTGTCTCTTGATGGTGTCCATGAACTATCTTTTCTTTTCTTTTCTTTTCTTTTTTTTTTTTGCTCTCTTTCCCTTTTTTGATTTTACTTATCATCCTTATGCCCTTACCTATAGGGAACGTGGCATTATGCAGATCTTCGTAAAGACATTGACAGGCAAGACCATTGCCCTCGAGGTGGAGGCCAGCGACACTGTTGAGAATGTGAAGGCAAAGATTCAGGACAAGGAGGGTATTCCCCCGGATCAACAGCGTCTTATCTTTGCTGGTAAGCAGCTGGAGGAGGGCCGCACCCTGGCGGACTACAACATTCAGAAGGAGTCCACGCTGCACCTGGTGCTCCGCCTCCGTGGAGGTGTGATGGAGCCAACGCTGGAGGCCCTCGCAAAGAAGTACAACTGGGAGAAGAAGGTGTGCCGCCGCTGCTACGCCCGTCTGCCCGTGCGTGCAACGAACTGCCGCAAGAAGGGATGCGGTCACTGCTCTAACCTCCGCATGAAGAAGAAGCTGCGTTAAGAATGGATGGTCACACCAGTACAGGAGGGAGCCATTTGGATGTTCCTTTGTAGTCATTTTGTTCTTTTATTCTTTTTTGAATTCAATATAACCTCTTTTTTTTTTCTTTCTGTTTGCTCTGTCTGTAGGTGGGTACAACAGTGGTAGTGGCGGTGTTATGTTTAATGCTGTTGCTGCTACTACTAATGATGTCCATCTGGTGATGAAATTTCTTTTTCATGTGCTTGGTGTTTTTTACGGTATGTTTCTTTGTTTTTTCCATCTCTTTTTTTTTTTTTAATAACTGAACTATTGTTTATTCTAGTAGGGGAAGCGTAGTGTATATTAACACAATTTATCCAAATCATTTTCACGCAGACCTCTTTATATACACACACATACACACATACACATACATAGGTAGAGGTGGAGGTGCCTTCTTACGTATAAGGTAGGTGTCAGAATACACCAGAAGGAAGTGGAAAAGTAAAAAAGGGAAATATACATTCACAGAGGTATACCCCCCAAACAGTAGGAAATAAAGTTTCCAAAGCTTTTCTCCTTTTTGGTTTTTTTGTTTTTCTATTGATTGGACTCCCCCTCTTTTTTGATTTTCCCTCTCTTTGTGTTTATTTTTCTTTTTTTTTTTCTTTGTTGTGTACGTATTTTCTGCGTTTCCATCGCCGTGTGCACTTCTCTATTGTAGAAGAAGAAGTGGGCCTTTAGGGAGTACGAGTGAACAGTTCTGAGGTCTCAAATATCTGCAAAACGAAAAGGGAAGAGAAAGAAAAAAGAAAAAAGAAAAAAAAATCATAGAGCAGAGAGATAATCAAAGCTCTTTGTTTTTTTTTTGTTTTTTTCCTCTTCTTATTTTTTTCCCCCCGTGTACTTCGTAAGGTCCTCTGTAGCATATCATTTCTACCAGGGACACGGCGAGCATTTTTGTGTATTATTATTATTATTATTATTATTATTATTATTATTATTATTATTATTCTCCAATTTTAGCTGATGAGTAGTGGTGATCGTGGTGAAAAAGGATCATCTGCGAGTCGCTTTTGGCGTCGTTTCCGCCAGAAGACATCTTCCTTCTGTTCTTGTTCTGGTCGTACATCTTCTGAGAGACGTGACGCAAATGGTGAGGTTATTCAAGATACTACCACTACTACTAATGATGAGAGTAGTAATAATAGTGATGGTGGGGGATCGTTTGTAGAGGTGGATATGCTTCGTTACGACCTTAACGCTGGACGGAAATATCCCGATAACTCCATTCGCACTGCAAAATATACGTGGTTATCTTGTTTTCCACTTAGTCTATTCTATCAGTTTTACAGGGTATCCAATGTGTATTTTCTCATTGTCATGGTTATTACCCTTATTCCTGGAGCGAGTCCTGTTAATCCACTTAGTAGTTTAATTCCCTTCTGTATTGTGCTCGGTGCTGGTATTTCAAAAGATCTCTGGGAAGACGGTAAAAGACGAGAATCGGATCGTCGTGCCAACAACGTAAAGGCGTACGTTTTGCGTGGAAATGAATTCGAAGCCGTGGCATCACGAGATGTACGTGTAGGAGATGTGATGCTTTGTAAACTTGGTGAAGAAGTACGAGCAGATGTATTGTTGTTGAATAGTTCTCACGCTGGTGGGGTAACATATATTGAGACTGCAAACTTAGATGGAGAAACAAATGCCAAAACAAGACGAGCAAAGCCGCAGACAATTGAAGCACTTGGAACCGTAGAAGATATTATTGATCATTGTTTACCATCTGCAAAGATGAAAGCACACTTCTTAAAACATGGTACTATGGAAAAATGGAATGGTACGGAAAGAGTTGTTGCTACGACTTCTCCAACAAAAATGCCAGATTCTCCAGATGTAGGAAGTAGATTAAAATTATCAGATTCTTTAGTAGATACCGGTCCACTCACTCCATTACGTTTAGAAAATTATAAACCCCCTGAACATGGTTTACCACAGTTTGTACGACCTCCAATTCCTGGTATTGATACTCCTGGTGTGGAGGCAAATAAAGATAATATGGACCCATGCATACACCCACGCTCAAGGACATTTCTTACCCCTGATGCGAAATATTTGGATGGACAGAATAAACATAGACGAGGTTTAACCTTTGATGAACGTTTTATGGTTGGAAGAGAAGTACCGGTGCCATCAGATATTTTAGCCATGTCAAGAAGGTATGAAGAACGATTAATGGGTCAATCGGTAAGAGCCACCGATACAGAAGGAATAGGACGTGATGGAAAGAGGAAAATATCAGGAGAAGGATCTCCAAATAAAAGTGTAACCCCAACTAAATCCACCAAGCATAATGTTCTTTCTAAGAATAATCAAGGGAAAACTCTTGATTCTAGTGGTTTTGGTAAAAGTGTTAATATGACAGAGAATGTAGAAGTAAATACAACAACAAATGGTGTTGTAATTCTTGGGGCACCACCTTGTCCAGAATTATATTCCTGGATTGGTCAATTACGAATGGGTGATGGTGAACTCATTCCTTTAGGTATTGAACAATTACTTCCTCGTGGATGTGTAATTCGTAATACAGAATGGGTTCTTTGTGTAGTATTATATACTGGAAAGAATACTAAAATGCTTCTCAACTTACAACCTAAACCAACGAAAATGTCTTTAGTAGCACGTCGTCTTAATTATATCAATTTATTTTTCTTTATTCTACAACAAGTGATGCTATTTATTATTTGTGGTCTTGCTGTGGTATGGCGAAATTCTCATTTGACACCACCAGAAGGAACACGTAGTGGTTATTCCGTTTGGTATATTCAGTGGTTTCTCTCACGTTATTCACCTAACTCTTTATTTGGACTTCGTTACCTTACCAATTTTGTTCTCATGTCATTCCTAATTCCACTTTCATTATATGTATCTCTTGAATTTAATAAAGCCATTCAAATGATTCTTATCGCTCGAGATAGAAGAATGGCTAGTTTTGATGAATTCAGTGGAGAATTACGTTTTCCAAGACCCAAAACATCTGAATTAAATTCTCAATTAGCACTTGTACGGTATATATTTACAGATAAAACAGGTACGTTAACACAGAATTGTATGACTTATGTAGGTGGATGTACGGCAACAGAGAAACATGATGAACGTGAGAGACCTGGTGCTCTTGGTGAGGCTTTTTTACAATTAGTCGGTCAACAACATCGTGAATCTGCTGGGATGGCTACAAAAGGACCAGGGGTGGCATTAACATCATCATCTGGAGAGAAACGTGTACTTCGTCCTCATCGTTCCACTTCTCCATTTGATTTTGATGAAAAGAAAATGGAATCGGAACCACTTTTTCAATATTTACGAGCTCTTTCCTTATGTCATTCGGTGGTTTGTTTTGATCGTCAAACCGTAGATGATGCGGCTGCGGCTTCTCAATCTGTACGCAATAGTCCATACCCACCTTTAGCTCTTGAGACCAGTGTGAATAGTATGCGAGTGAGTATAAATGCCGATGCGAGAGAAATGAATGTACATGAGCGATGGGCCTCACATAATCTTGGTCAAAGTCTCTCAGTTCTTCACGCCAGTACTGCCAGTGGCGTTGGTCGTTTTTTACGAGGACACACCGGTAGTGCTAGTTGGTATGTTACTCGTCATAATGATATGCATGAACATGAACGCACAGCCACCATGCCAAGGATTGTATTAGAAATGAAAGATAAATCTAAAATATATGAAGGACAATCATTAGATGAAATTGCACTGGTTACGGCAGCTCGTGATAATCTTTTCGCTTTACAAAAAAGGAATGCCACACATATGTATATACAAGCTGCAAATAAAATGATGTGTTATGAAATTATTGCAGAACTTGAATTTACGCCACAACGAAAGTTAATGAGTATTTTACTTTGTCGATGTCCTTTATTAGATGATGCCGCAGATGCGGATGGGGCAGAAAAGGTAGAAAATAGTTATCATCGTCAAAAGGAAAAGCCGGTGCAGGAGGTTCGACGGCAATCACCACCTCCACCACGTGAAATGGTACTTAATGTGTTGGGTTCGCAAAGAGGATTTCCTGTGAATACAGAAAATGGAAGTGATGAGGAAGATGAGGATGAACGTCGTCGGTCAAGAAATACAACAAAGATTTTTACCGGTGAACCAGAAGGATTAGATGAAGATGATGAAGAGGAATCTCCATACTTACTACTCGTAAAAGGAGCAGATAATAGTATGTTGGAGATTGTAAACAATAGTAATCCACGTAATGCAGAACTTAAACCTGTCTTTCAACGAGAGTTAGAGGCAATGGCAAGAGAAGGATTACGTACCCTGGTGCTTGGACAACGGTATATCACAGAACGTGAGGTATTGGAATGGCTTCCAATATTTAATGAGGCTCAATGTAGTATGCAGAATAGAAGTGAAAAATTACATAGTGCTTATGCCTTAATGGAGAAGGAAATTGATCTTATTGGTACCACTGCCGTAGAGGATGAATTGCAAGAGGGAGTTCCAGAGACATTAAAGTTTTTCCTTCAAGCAGAAATTGTGGTTTGGATGTTAACAGGAGATAAACGTGAAACAGCAGTAACCATAGCGGGTACAAGTGGTTTAGTGGACTCCGCGTATGAAAATTCTGTCGTACATTTAGATGTAGCCGATATATCTATGAATTTTGACTCTTGTGAAGCTGCAGCCGCGGATCCAACTGTACAAAGTACATTAAAAGAACAAATGGATGCCGCCGTATTAGCATGTGAAGAGGCAGATGCTATTCATAAAGGAGAACGTGTCATAGTCTTGGTAGTAGATGGTCGAACCTTAGATGTTATTTTTGGGGATAAGACTATTACAAGTGATTTCTTTAAATTAGGAACACGTTGTCGAAGTGCAGTTTGTTGTCGAATGACACCTTTACAAAAGGCAAAAGTGGTTCGTTTATTTCAAAAGAATACCCGTCACACCGCATTAGCTATTGGGGATGGGGCAAATGATGTTTCTATGATTCAAGAGAGTCGTATTGGTGTAGGTATTATGGGACTTGAAGGATCTCAAGCAGAATTGGCAAGTGATTATGCTATTCCTGCCTTTCGTTTTCTTAAACGTCTTCTTGTTGTTCATGGACGTTTCTCTCTTTATCGTGATGCTCATTGTATTCTCTTTAGTTTATATAAGAATGTGGTTCTCTGTGTTGGTCTTACCTTTTATGCCTTTCATTGTGGTTATTCTGGTATGATATTAATGGAATCCTGGTTATTAGCCCTCTTTAATCTTCTTTTCTGTGCCGTTCAGCCTCTCATGATTGGAATATTTGATAAAGATGTATCGGATGAATTAGCAGAATCCATACCTGCATTATATCCACCACTTGCCCGAGAAGAAATGTTTTTTCATACTCGTTATATTGCCAAATGGTTTATTGATGGTTTAGTAGATGGATTTGCACTTATACTAGTGTTAATGTATGTGGTAGGGGTATGGGATACACTCTATCCATACCGTAGTCCAGCCTTGGAAGATTATGGAATGATGTATTTTATTATGATGCTTCTTATCGTCAATCTCCGAGTGGCGGGATTAACCACCTGTTATAATGTTATTTTATTTGGTGTGATTGCCTATGGCTTTATTGTGATTCCACTTCTCACACTTGCCTATTCGGCTATTCCTGATTTACTTGGATCTAATTGGTGTGTGTATATTGCGATGGAGTTAATGAGTGATCCAAAGTTTTGGCTTCTTCTTCTCTTCACGGCGGGTGTATTTCTGGTCTACGGCGTGGCGGTGAATGCGTACATTGCGATGTTTTGGCCGTGGATGAATGGCGGGCCGGCAATGCGGGCAGCGTGGAACTCACCGTACAGAAAAGAACATCACGAGAGGATTTTGCGATTGCGGAGAAGAGCCGCCGCCGCTGCAGCCGCACGTACAGCCTCCTCCACACCTCCATAAGAGAGAAACTACAATTTTCTATTTAGTACGATCAGTGTTATTTTATTATTATTATTATTATTATTATTATTATTATTATTATTAATAGTAGTAGTAGTATTAATATTAATCTTGGTGGTTTACTACTTCCTTGCCTCGTTCTCTGTATATGTGGTTCATACATGTAATAATTGTATTTGTGTCTCTCTCTGTATATATATATATATATATATATATATATATATCTGTACATTTATATCTATCTATCTAACTGCATGCTTTGTTGATGTTGTTGATCTTTTTTTTTCCTTTTTCTTATTCTATCTTGTTCTTTGATATACGGTTTCTACATATATATATATAGAAAGAGGAGAATTATAATTAAAGAAAAGAACAAAAAGGAAAGAAAAGAAAAGAACGAAATCAATTACAGATGAAAAGGGAAACAAAAAAGGAGCATGGGGTATTATGTGATCTATGATGGGGAATAAAGAAAAATAATTTCAACAAGAAAAAAAAAGAAGTTAATGGATGAGAGAAAAGAAGAAAAAGAATAATAAAAAAAATAGTCATTTATGTATAAGGCATGAGATCGGCAAGATAAACTTTTTAGCATCACTTTCTTTTTTTTCTTCTTTGCAGAAATAAAGAGGAACGTATTTTTGTCGTTCAATTCTAGTGTGTACTTAAAGAAAAAAAAGTAAGAAAAAAGAAAAAAAAATAACTTTCCTATTTTACTAGTGTTGATTTCTCTATTATATAGTGAGGAACCCAATATATATATATATATATATATGGTTGGGTATTTTTCTGTAATGATGATGGAATCGGGCATGTTTTGAAAATGATATTTGTGTTGTGAATTCTCTTAAACCGGTTAACAAGAGAAATCAGAAGGAAAACAAAATAAACAGACACATATACAGAAACAATCATAATAGGAAGAACAACCGAAATGCCATTGTTATTATTATTATTACTGTTATTACTATTATTACTCCTGTTGTTTTTTTCCTTTGCTTTTTCTTTCATTTTCCATTATTCCTCTTTATTATTATTATTACTGATGTTCTTATCTTCATCATTGGTGTTGTTAATACCATTTTTCATTGTTTGTCGCGTACACACGCACACACGCATGTATAATAATATGATGTTTTTTTTTTCTTCCATCTCTCTCTTCTCTCTCTTTTATGTGCTTATATATATATATATATATATATATATATATATATGCAAGGAAAAGAAAAGAAAAGAGAATAAAATCGGTTCACGGATCTGTAAGCAATTACGGAGATAAAATAATTGTTTTTTTTTTTTTTTATTCTTTTCTTTTCTTTTTTTTTCTTTTTCCGGCTTCACAGTTGATTGAGTTTGTGCGATTCCTTTTTTCTTTTTTTTTTCTTTTCTTTTCTATAGGATAAAGCAAAGAAAAGAAGAAGAAAAGTAAGAAGGGAACAAACAAACAAAAACAAATCATTCCACCCATCCACCAAATAAATAAATGAGAATATATACTGTTTGGAATTGTACTTCTACACTTTGCTTTTTTGATTCTTTTATTTTCTGTTTATTTATTTGTTATTTTTTTTTTTTCTTTCTTTTCTTTTTTCTTTCTTTTCTTTTTTCTTTTCTTTCTTTTTTTCTTTGAAGACTTCAAGCAGACAAGTTTTTAAACTTTTGTCGTTGGGATTGACGGTTTCTTTCCCACCCCCTACGTACACACCCACAGACATATATATATATATATATATACAAACGAGAGGGGAGGAAGAATACCACTGTGATTAGACTGTAGACGTGATAAGAGAAAAGTACCGTTTACACATCATTATTATTAGAAAAAAAAAAACAGAAGCAACCCCAGGAATATATATATATATATATATATATTTATATTTATATTTATATTTATACGGGTTTAACTCTCTCTCTCTCTTTGTGTGAAGAAGAATAAAAAAATAAAAATAAAAAAAAAGGAATGTTCTCTTCCTTTATTCGCCGAACCCCTCCACTTTGTGTGGGGCCCAAATCCATTGTTGCCTTTTCTTCCTTCCACACACCCACCGCCACTCTTATGGCCGCACGACTCGCCTCCACTACTGCGAACACCGTCCCATTAGATAGACCCGGGACCATCGCAACATCATCCACTACTACTATTCATCATCATAATGATAATAATGATAATAATAACACTACTCCTACTACTACTACGATGGTGATGACTCCTCTGTACACCTCCACTCCAACCAATAATAATAATAATAATAATAATAATAATAATAATACGACTGTCAGTGCGGCGGCCACGAGTGATGGACTCCCGCTGGTGGGGGATCCGCGTGTTTGTGTTTGGCGCGACGAGGAGGCACTTCTGCGGGCGTCGATGGGGCGGCTGGCGGCGGAGCGGGAACTCGCGGCGATGCGGCGGCGGTGCGAGGAGCAACTCGAGTGGCTGCGGGCCGGACTGCGGGCGCGGGAGGGACAAGTGGAGCGCATCGTCCGGCGCGTCATCACACGGCCACCCAAACACACACGCAGACGTTCAAACAACACTACTACTAACACTACTACTAACACTAGTATGAATAATAATAATAATAATAATAATAATAATAATAATATGGATATGAATATGAATAGTGTTGCTGAGGAAGAGGTGGGGGTGGAGGATGGGGTCTGCAGAGGCGCAGCTGTAGAGTGTGTGGAGGAGGCTGCAGAAACAGAAGAGCCGATGTGGGGCAGATCAGAGGAAGAACAACAACAACAACAACAAGAAGAAGAACAAGGAGAAGGAGAAGAAAATGTTGAAGGAAATGGAGAGAAGGAAATAAATGAAGGCGGAGAGGAAGAGAATTATCATAATAATAATAATAATTATTATATGGATAATAGAGGGGATGGGACCAACACGACAGTCCCAACACCAACACCATCACCATCACCACTACCGACTCAAACACAAACCCCCGCCGTTGGGGAATCTCAACAACAGAAGGATGAGACCGCTGTGAACAAGAAGCGAAAGACCAACAATAATAAGAATAAGAATAATAAGAACAACAACAGCAGCCAAAAGAAGACTAAAGGCAATAAGAATAACAGCAAGAATAACAGTCGTCGTAGTCCTAGTCCTAGTCGTGCTCGTGGTGGTAGTAAGAGTAATGTTAGCGGTGGTATTAGAAACAAGAAGGGAAGCGCAAAGAAAACAACAGCTGTGAAGAATAAAACAGGGGCGGTGAAATCGTCTAAAAGTACACGTGGAAACACTACAAGGAAGACGACTAAAAACAACAACAACAACAACAAACATGCCTCACAAAAGAAAGTTGGGGCTGTTAAAAAGAACACCAATGCCAAAAACAAGACAAAGGGTATGGAAGCAAACAAAAAGAAGAAGAACAACAACAACCAGAACCGCAACAATAAGAAGAACAGCAATAATAATAATAATAAGAACAATAAAGGTGGGAGTCGTACAAAGAAAGCGTCTCCTGCAACTGGACGAAAGAGATAATCCAGTGAGCAAAGACGTTAGAAAAAGAAGAACAGAGAAAATAATAATTATTATTATAAATAAAAAAAACAGAGCGATGCCAATAACACCAGCTAGAAAAGTAGATATAAATATAAAGAAGAATAGAAGGTAAAGAAAAAAAAACAAAGAAGAAATAACAGATGAATTAATATTTGATCAAAGATTTTTTTTTCTCTAATTATGTCTGTTTTTTTTTTTTTTTCTCTCTCTTTCCTTATTTTGTCTTTATAATTATATGTATATATAAATATATTATTGTATCTGTATCTGTGTCTGAATCTGTATTTGTTGCTTTCATGGTCTGTGTACTGTACTGTACTGTTCTTAGTTGTAAGGAGTTGTGTGAGTGGGATATATTTCTCTGAAGGAAATTAGATTCATGTATTCTTCATTTTATTTCCCTTCACTTTGTACATTTATTTTACATAAACATTATATATATATATATATATATATATAATATTAGAATGATAATATGCTCTTGTATTTTTACATATTTTTATTTATTTTTGTACTAGATTTATGCATTTACATCACTTTTGCATGTATTTTTATTTATGTTTTTTTTTTTTTTTTTTTTTTTTTTAATCTCTCTCTCTCTCGTGTGTGTACACCATCATATCAACAGAAACAAAAAGAAAAGAAAGAAAAAAAAATAAGAATAAGAGAAAACACAGAAAGGGGTATAAGAGTGAGTGGTGGTGGTGGTGGTGGTGTATAAAGTAGTAATAATAATAACAACAATGAGAAAGGGAAATAATGGGATTTTGTATCTCTCTTTTTTTTT